GGTCACAGTGCTGGGTAGTGGTCACAATGCAGGGTGGTGGTCACAGTGTAGGGTGGTCACAATGCAGGGTGGTCACAGTGCAGGGTGGTCACAGTACTGGGTAGTGGTCACAATGCAGGGTGGTGGTCACAGTGCAGGGTGGTGGTCACAATGCAGGGTGGTGGTCACAGTGCAGGGTGGTGGTCACAGTACTGGGTAGTGGTCACAATGCAGGGTGGTGGTCACAGTGATGGGTAGTGGTCACAGTGATGGGTAGTGGTCACAGTGCTGGGTAGTGGTCACAGTGCAGGGAAGTGGTCACAGTGCAGGGTGGTCACAGTGCTGCGTAGTGGTCACAGTGCTGGGTAGTGGTCACAATGCAGGGTGGTCACAGTACTGGGTAGTAGTCACAGTGCAGGGTGGTCAGTTCTGGGTAGTGGTCACAGTGCAGGGTGGTCACAATGCTGGGCGGTCGCAGTGCTGCGTAGTGGTCACAGTGCTGGATAGTGGCCACAGTGCAGGGTAGTGGTCACAGTGCAGGGTAGTGGTCGCAGTGTAGGGTGGTCACAGTGCTGGGTAGTGGTCGCAGTGTAGGGTGGTCACAGTGCTGGGTAGTGGTCACAGTGCAGGGTGATCACAATACTGCGTAGTGGTCACAGTGCTGGGTAGTGCTCACAGTACAGGGTGGTCACAGTGCAGGGTGATCACAATACTGCGTAGTGGTCACAGTGCTGGGTAGTGTTCACAGTACAGGGTGGTGGTCACAGTGCAGGGTGATCACAGTGCAGGGTGGCCACAGTGCTGCGTAGTGGTCACAGTGCTGGGTAGTGGTCACAGTGCAGGGTAGTGGTCACAGTGCAGGGTAGTGGTCACATTGCAGGGTGATCACAATACTGGGTGGTCACAGTGCAGGGTGATCACAATACTGCGTAGTGGTCACAGTGCTGGGTAGTGTTCACAGTACAGGGTGGTGGTCACAGTGCAGGGTGATCACAGTGCAGGGTGGCCACAGTGCTGCGTAGTGGTCACAGTGCTGGGTAGTGGTCACAGTGCAGGGTGGTCACAGTGCTGGGTAGTGGTAAGTGTAGGGTGGTCAGTTCTGGGTAGTGGCCACAGTGCAGGGTGGTCACAATGCTGGGTGGTCACAGTACTGCGTAGTGGTCACAGTGCTGGGTAGTGGCCACAGTGCAGGGTAGTGGTCACAGTGCAGGGTAGTGGTCACATTGCAGGGTGATCACAATACTGGGTGGTCACAGTGCAGGGTAGTGGTCACAGTGCAGGGTAGTGGTCACAGTGAAGGGTGGTGGTCACAGTGAAGGGTGGTGGTCACAGTGCAGGGTAGTGGTCGCAGTGCTGGGTAGTGGTCGCAGTGCTGGGTAGTGGTCACAGTGCTGGGTAGTGGTCACAGTGCTAGGTAGTGGTCAGTGAAGGGTGGTCACAGTGCAGGGTAGTGGTCACAGTGCTGGGTAGTGGTCACAGTGCTGGGTAGTGGTCACAGTGCTGGGTAGTGGTCACAGTGCAGGGTAGTGGTCACAGTGCTGGGTATTGGTCACAGTGCAGGGTGGTGGTCACAGTGCAGTGGTTACAGTGCTGGGTAATGGTTACAGTGCTGCGTAGTGGTCACAGTACAGGGTGCTCACAGTGCAGGGTAGTGGTCACAGTGCTGGGTAGTGGTCACAGTGCTTGGTAGTGGTCACAATGCAAGGTGGTCACTGTTCATGGTACTGGTCACAATGCAAGGTGGTCACTGTGCATGGTACTGGTCACTGTGCATGATACTGGTCACAGTGCATGGTACTGGTCACAGTGCATGGTACTGGTCACAGTGCAGGGTACTGGTCACTGTGCAGGGTACTGGTTACTGTGCAAGGTGGTCACTGTGATGGTACTGGTCACTGTGCAGGGTACTGGTCACTGTGCAAGGTGGTCACTGTGATGGTACTGGTCACTGTACAGGGTACTGGTTACTGTGCAAGGTGGTCACTGTGATGGTACTGGTCACTGTGCAGGGTACTGGTCACTGTGCAAGGTGGTCACTGTGATGGTACTGGTCACTGTGATGGTACTGGTCACTGTGAGGGTACTGGTTACTGTGCAAGGTGGTCACTGTGATGGTACTGGTCACTGTGCAGGGTACTGGTCACTGTGCAAGGTGGTCACTGTGATGGTACTGGTCACTGTGCAGGGTACTGGTTACTGTGCAAGGTGGTCACTGTGATGGTACTGGTCACTGTACAGGGTACTGGTTACTGTGCAAGGTGGTCACTGTGATGGTACTGGTCACTGTGATGGTACTGGTCACTGTACACGGTACTGGTTACTGTGCAAGGTGGTCACTGTGATGGTACTGGTCACTGTGATGGTACTGGTCACTGTGCAAGGTGGTCACAGTGCAGGGTAGCGGTCAGAATTTTTTTTTTATAATCAAAACTCGTGATACGATTTATTTGCACTTGGTCCTGAGCTGAACGTCATCACCGAGTCCAGCAGTGGACTCGGTCAGCTGGTGCTGGACCACTGCTGGTTACTACATTGTTGATGTCTGGCAGTGGACTCGGTCAGCTGGTGCTGGACCACTGCTGGTTACTACATTGTTGATGTCTGGCAGTGGACTCGGTCAGCTGGTGCTCGACCACTGCTGGTTACTACATTGTTGATGTCTGGCAGTGGACTCGGTCAGCTGGTGCTGGACCACTGCTGGTTACTACATTGTTGATGTCTGGCAGTGGACTCGGTCAGCTGGTGCTGGACCACTGCTGGTTACTACATTGTTGATGTCTGGCAGTGGACTCATCACCCAGTCTAGTATTTCAAGCAAAAAAAAAAATCCTAAATCTATTAGACATGTGTGTATGGAGTTCATTGAGGTGTGTAGAGTACACTGGGAGTTCATTGAGGTGTGTAGAGTACACTGGGAGTTCATTGAGGTGTGTAGAGTACACTGGGAGTTCATTGAGGTGTGTAGAGTACACTGGGAGTTCATTGAGGTGTGTAGAGTACACTGGGAGTTCATTGAGGTGTGTAGAGTACACTGGGAGTTCATTGAGGTGTGTAGAGTACACTGGGAGGTCACTGAGGTGTGTAGAGTACACTGGGAGGTCACTGAGGTGTGTAGAGTACACTGGGAGGTCATTGAGGTGTGTAGAGTACACTGGGAGGTCATTGAGGTGTGTAGAGTACACTGGGAGGTCATTGAGGTGTGTAGAGAAACACTGGGAGGTCATTGAGGTGTGTAGAGTACACTGGGAGGTCATTGAGGTGTGTAGAGTACACTGGGAGGTCATTGAGGTGTGTAGAGTACACTGGAGGTCATTGAGGTTGTTGTAGATACACTGGGAGGTCATTGAGGTGTGTAGAGTACACTGGGAGGTCATTGAGGTGTGTAGAGTACACTGGGAGGTCATTGAGGTGTGTAGAGTACACTGGGAGGTTTCATTGAGGTGTGTAGAGTACACTGGGAGGTCATTGAGGTGTGTAGAGTACACTGGGAGGTCATTGAGGTGTGTAGAGTACACTGGGAGGTCATTGAGGTGTGTAGAGTACACTGGGAGTTCATTGGTATGTTCTGCAGGTCAGAGAGCCTCTGTAACTGTAAGAGTTTACCACAGACTGTGACAAGTGTGAATAACCGTAACCTGGACAGAAAAGTGGAATACACAACCCGCACTTAGGAGAGAGGAGCTTACGACGACGTTTCGGTCGACTTGGATCATTTACAATGTCCTGTCTCCTATGTGCGGGTTGTGTATTGTTCCAGTCACGGTATTGTGCCTTTGTCTTCTTGAGAAAAGTGGAAAGGACTGATTTAACTTTGATAAGATTAACGTCGGTTCTTTGCATTTGCAAATTCGTTGAACACTGTGAATATATCGTGTATAATTCTATGTTAATTTTATTCTTCGTAAATCGTTTGTGTTTCGTAAATGTTCGTGACTTAGATTTTGTTATATAGATTTTGCAAAACAAACTCATCCTTGATTCTGATGCCTTCCCTACCGCCCCACTTTTTCAACGCCCTCCTTCATCTTTCCATCGCCCACAGGAGGGCGGTACCCCTACTTTGGGAATCACTGACCAAATGGTTCTCGCTCGATCCCAGTTATTGAACCAGCGTACCCGTTACCACAACCGGTTCAGCAAGGCTGTCCCCAGTCCAGCTGCTGAGGTCACCCTTGGTAAGAAGCAACGGTGCAGAGGTCACCCTTGGTATGAAGCAACGGTGTAGAGATCACCCTTGGTAAGCAACAGTGCAGAGGTCACCCTTGGTAAGAAGCAACGATGCAGAGGTCACCCTTGGTATGAAGCATCGGTGCAGAGGTCACCCTTGGTATTAAGCATCGGTGCAGAGGTAACCCTTGGTATTAAGCAACGGTGCAGAGGTAACCCTTGGTATGAAGCAACGGTGCAGAGGTAACCCTTGGTGTGAAGCAACGGTGCAGAGATCACCCTTGGTAAGCAACAGTGCAGAGGTCAACATTGCTAAGAAGCAACGGTGCAGAGGTCACCCTTGGTATGAAACAATGGTGCAGTGGTTACCCTTGGTATGAAGCAACGGTGCAGAGGTTACCCTTGGTATGAAGCAACGTTTCAGAGGTCACTCTTGGTATGAAGCAACGGTGCAGAGATCACCCTTGGTAAGCAACAGTGCAGAGGTCACCCTTGGTAAGGAGCAACGGTGCAGAGAACACGTGAGGAACTGAGTCGACAGTGTTGTTAATCTATGGGAGTTGTTGTCTGAGAGGTGTTGTTGATGTCTGGGAGTTGTTGTTGATGTCTGGGAGTTGTTGTTGATGTCTGGGAGTTGTTGTTGATGTCTGGGAGTTGTTGTTGATGTCTGGGAGGTGTTGTTGATGTCTGTGAAGTATTGTTGATATCTGCAAAGTGTTGATGTCTGGGAGGTGTTGTTGATGTCTGGGAGGTGTTGTTGATGTCTGGGAGGTGATGATGTCTGGGAGGTGTTGTTGATGTCTGAGAGTGTTGATGTCTGGGAACCAAGAGAATGTCGTGACCGCAGCACTCACCTGGACTCGAGCCTCGCTGAGGTTAGTACGCTTGGCCAGTTCCTCCCTGACGAAGGCGTCAGGGTAGTGGGTCCTCTCGAAGACCTTCTCCAGCGCCGTCAGCTGCACCGAGGTGAAGGTGGTTCTGTTTCTCCGGGGTTTCTTCTTTCGTCCCTCTGCGTCCTCTTCTGTCCGAGAACAAGGAGAGAAAAAGTGATAGATTATTATGTCAGTCATTGATGAATTAAGACCCATGTGCAACACTTATTTACTGAGACGCTTCGCCACACAGTGGCAGCTTCATCAGTCCAATACAAAGAAGAATAGTGAAGCTCAGAAGGAAATTAAAATGGACTGATTACCTCACCTTCCTTCTAAACTTCAATATTCTTGTTTCAGACTGATGAAGCCGCTGTGTGGTGAAGAGTTTCCTCAGTCAAGATACCCAAGTGTTGCACATGTGTCTGATTGATCATCTTGTTGGTGCTGTGGATTATTTATCTACAAGTTACGTAATACCTGTTGTGGTTATAGGGCAGCCATTGTGGCTCACTGGAAACCTCTGTACAGACCAGGCAGCCACTGTGGCTCACTGGAAACCTCTGTACAGACCAGGCAGCCACTGTGGCTCACTGGAAACCTCTGTACAGACCAGGCAGCCACTGTGGCTCACTGGAAACCTCTGTACAGACCAGGCAGCCACTGTGGCTCACTGGAAACCTCTATCCTCTTCAAGGGGGGCTCCTTGCTGTGGTGAAGAGGGCTCTTGGTCTGAGGATCAGACCTGTCGGTCTCCTTCCTCGGACCGAACCTATATTACCCCCCAATCCCCCCTCTCTATCCCATCCTCCCTTTTTCCTTTCCTCCTCCTTCTCCCCACCCCTCCCTTTTTGCCCTTCCTCTTTTTGGCCTTTGGGATTTCTCCCACAGGCGCGCTAGTTCCTAGGTAGGGGAAAGGATACCTGGGTCCATCCCATTCCGTTGAGGTTCTTGGCGGTGGCGTAGTTTGCCGTGGAATCTGGATCGCCTGGGGATGTCCCAATCCCTCTCCAGTACCCTGGAGTAGCTTTGGGTGTTTTTCGGGCGACGGGTGTATTTCTGGAAGCCACCTTTCGGATTCTGGGGGTGGTGGCCGAAGGAGGTATGCTTTGTGGCGGATATCTGGCCGCCCTCTCTTTTGTCCACCAAGGTAGCTCAGCAGATGTGAGGTTGCTATCCCGGATTGCTGGTTTACTGGCATGAAGGGTAGGGTATGGCACGGGTTCCATGCTGCATCTGTGCTACTAGCGGGTGCTGAAGGTCCTCTTGGGCGCGGAGGGAGATTTCCGGCCCTTTCATTCCTCCTGGGAACTATTCCTCCCTGCTCCCCCCTTTTTTTTATTCTTTTTTATTTTTATTTTCTTTTCTTCTTTCTTTTTTTTTCTTAAAAACAAAAAGCAAAGGAGTAACCTAACCATGGAGAACCCAGTCATGAACCCACTACCCCCGGGCCCCTTCTTGATTACCGCACCCATTCTGACCCTGCCTTGTTTTTAGACCACTCTTCGGACACTCCTGATGCCCCTGTACCTCTTGCTGGTGCTGTTTCCTTACCCGCTTCAGGTACCGGGGCTTCGACTGACTCCTTCAATTTGTCTGAACTCTGCTCTCCTTTGACTATGCTTCCGGCTTCTCCCTCTAGAGTCCGGCAATTTTCGAATCGCCCGCCCATTTCACACCGGACCAAATCCGGTCCTACTCCTAAACGCCAACGTCAATCTCCTGATGATGCTCCTTCGTTACCTTCCCATTCTACTCAGAAAAGACCAACACGTCATGCACTCCCTCTCCACGCTCAGTTTCGGACCACACACAATGGACTAAATTCTTTACTTTAAGGACCGACTTCTTCTGCCTACCTTTCTGACCATAGTATTGGCAAAGCGCTCCTGCGTCATGTTGGTAGAGATATTTCATTTCATGCTCTCAAGAGCGGTACGTGCATTGTCACTGTCCAGAATGCTACACAAGCTCATGATCTTTCTCTCCTTTCGAATATCGATACTACTCCTATCACTATTGAAAAACATCTTTCTCTCAATTCTTGTAGTGGTACTGTCATTCTGCCCCATACCATAGTCCAACAATTTCCAGTCATGTGGCAATGACATTCTTGAACAGCTGGAACTCCAGGATCTCCCAATCCTCAAAGTAGACACTTATGTCCTTCCTGATCATGGGTGGAGACGTTACCCTTGCAATGTGGCTCATTTAACTTTTGACAGCCGAGAACTCCCGTCCTCTGTATATGTTGCGGGACATCGGTTACAAGTTCGAAAGGTGATACCTACACCGCAACAGTGTAGAAATTGCTGGCGTTTTGGTCACCCAGCGAAATATTGCAGATCTATGGCCGAATGCCCAGTCTGTGGTGCCGACGACCATTCTAATACATCTTGCAGTCAACCTCCATCTTGCCTTAATTGTAATGAAGCTCACCCTTCGTACTCCTGCCGTTGTCAGGTCTACTTAAATGAAAGTGAAATCCGTTGCCTCAAAGAGGCAGAAGGTCTCCCTTATGCTATGGCAGTTACTCATCTCTGCCTCCAAGGGAGACTACCCCGTGTTTCTTATTCTCGTGTTTCAAAACATCCCCCCACTTCTGGGGTCCCATCTTCTGCAGCCTCCTCTGTTGTTACCCCTCCCAGAGCCACTCCAGCATCTAATCCTTTTGCTGCCCTTGGCTCTGACGTCCCGACTACAACTCAGTCTGTTCTTACATCTTCGCGTCCTTCCTCACAAGCCCCAGTATCGACAAGACCTCGTACGACACCTAATACCAATCACCCCTCTACTTCTCAGAAGTCCAAAAAATCCACATTGCTCAAATCTTCTTTGCCCTTCTTCCTTCTTCCACCTCCACACTTTACCTTTCCAGTCTCTGTGCCTAGTTCTTCCCCTCTCTTGGCTCTATTACAAGTGTGGAGATTCACCCTCCTCCTCGTACTATGCCTTCCAACCCCATCCCCTCCCAAGTTTCTCCCTCTTCTGCCACCTCCAGGTTTCTGCCTCTTCTGTCCCCCCCACACTTCATCTCAGTCCCTTACACTCTTTCCTCCCCCTCTACTTTGGTACAGTCCATTACTGTCCCAATCTTTACTCACCCTCCCCCTTCTATCTCCAATATGGTCTCCCATACATCTTTGAATTCAGAAAACACTTGAAGCCATTTCAGAATATATTGCAGAGACTAAACCTTCAATGGACACTGATTCACTTCCTGTTCCTTCTCTTCCCTCTCCTCCATCTTCACAACCCCATTCTTCACAATGCTCCGTTCCTTCGCTGCTTGAACGTCTTCCACTGCCACCACACGTTGACTTTTCTAACCCCTCTAGTCCGTAGGTGCCTTTCCCTACGGATTCCTGGTATTTTTTTCTTCATCGCCAATCATGGCCTATTTACAGTGGAATATCCGCGGCCTCGGGTAATCGGGGTGAGCTTCAGATGTTGCTTTCCAGGTTTTCCCCTGTTGGTGCTTGCTTACAAGAACCAAAATTACACTTGGCTGTTTTCCAACCTATCTCAGGCTATAATTTATTGTATTCTTCGGATCCTTTCTCAGATGGGACCTTTAATGAAAGTGCCCTTCTTCTACGCAATATTCTGTACTGTCAACTATTTGTCCATACCTCACTGCATTACACTGCAGCCCGTATCCACTTGATAAGTGGTTTACAATATGTTCTTTATATCTCTCTCCTCGAGCATTTTCTATCCCAGACTTTGCCTTTCTTGTTTCATCCTTACCACCACCACTTCTGTTACTTGGTGATTTTAACGCCCACCATTTCCTCTGGGGGGGGGGTCTTATTGTGACTCGTGTGGCATCCAGTTGGAGGCTTTTCTCGCCTCTCACCCCCTCCATGTTTTAAATACGGGTACTCCCACCCATTTTGATCCTCGTACTCATATTCTCTCTTGCATCGATCTATCCGTCTGCTCTTCCTCCACTGCACCAGACTTCACCTGGTCTGTTCTACTGGACTTACATGACAGTGATCATTTTCCAATCATTCTTACTTTTCCTTCCTATTCACCACCTTTCCGTAGCCCTCGCTGGCAATTTGATCGGGCAAATTGGGATCTTTACTCGCAACTCACTGCTTTTAGTGAGGTTCCTCCTTCGTCCTCCATTGATGAGCTCCTACATCTCTTCTCGACGTCAGTTTATACCGCAGCTTCTCATTCTATACCCCAAACCTCAGGCAGGCATTCTCAGAAGTGCGTGCCTTGGTGGTCTCCTGCTTGTGCTCGTGCAGTACATTTGAAACGCTCTGCATGGGGCAGGTACCAGTACAATAGAACCGCTGAGAGACTTCTTGATTTTAAGCAGAAGTGTGTGATCGCTCTCCGTGTCATCCGTGAAGCTAAACACACTTGCTGGCGAGACTATGTTTCCACCATCACCTCTGCTTCTTCTATGAATGCAGTCTGGAAAAAAGTGAGGAAATTGAGTGGTAAATACTCTCCTGACCCGGCTCCTGTTCTACCGGTTGCTGGTGTTGATGTAGCAAACCCTCTCGACGTTGCCATTGAACTTGGCACACATCTGGTCCGTATTTCCCGGGGGCTCCATCTATGCCCCTCGTTTCTTTCCTCAAAGTCTGCCAGAGAGTTAGTACCCTTGGACTTTTCTTCTCTCAGAGAAGAACAGTATAATGTGCCTTTACACTTCAAGAACTAGAGGCAACGCTCTCAGCTTGCCGATCATCGGCAGCTGGGCCTGACGACATTCATATTCTTATGTTACAACATTTACATCGGTCAGCCCTTGTAGTCCTCTTACACCTCTTCAATCTTATTTGGGCACAAGGAGTTCTTCCCCAGCTGTGGAAATCTGCCATTGTTCTCCCTTTCCGCAAACCGGGTACTACAGGACATGATGCCTCCCACTATTGTCCCATCGCTCTTACTAGTGCAGTTTGCAAAGTGATGGAAAGTCTCGTAAATCGACGTTTAATGTGGTATTTAGAGACACACAACAGTCTCTCCGCTAGTCAATATGGCTTTCGTAAGGGCCGTTCTACCTAGACCCTTACTACGCTTGGATACGTATGTTCGTAATGCCTTTGCGAATAATCACTCAGTTATTGCCATATTTTTTGACCTTGAGAAGGCATATAACACAACTTGGAGGTATAATATTTTGGCCCAGGCCCACTCCTTAGGCCTCCGAGGCAATCTACCATCCTTCCTTAAGAACTTTTTAACTG